CTGGGACCACAGAAGCCCACCACAACACCCAGCCATTTTTTGGTTGCAGCCGTCATTGTTGTCTGGCAGGCCGGGCTGGACCCAAACCCGCCACCTTGGGTGTACGTGGTTGGCGCCCTAGCCATTTGAGCCACAGGCGCCGAGCCAGGAGTCTAGTTTTAAGTAAGGAATGCTCTCAGTCAGGCTGCCTGTAAGATGTCCAGGGACTGCCTGCATATCTTTTTAAATAATCACTTGTACTAAAAATAGCAGGGCGTTGTGGGTGCCTATAGACCCAGCTACTTGGGAGGCTAAGGCAAGAGAATTGCTTACACCCAAGAGTTGGAAGTTGCTGTGAGTTGTAATGCCAGAACACTCTACTGATGGCAACATAGACTGTCTAGGGAAAAAAAAAAATTGTAAGTAAAAGGCCTATTCTCTCAAATTTTCTTTCTTTTTTGAGACAGAATCTCATTTTGTTGTCCTTGGTAGAGTACTGTGGCATCACAGCTCACAGTAACCTCCAGCTCTTGGGCTTAAGCCATTCACTTGCCTCAGCCTCCCAAGTAGCTGGGACTACAGGCATCTTCCACAAGACCCAGCTATTTTTTTTTTATGCAGTTTAGCCAGGGCTGGGTTTAAACCCTCCACCCTTGGTATATAGGGCTGGCACCCTACTCACTGAGCCACAGGCACCGCCCTTTGAGACAGTCTTACCATATCGCCCTTGGTAGAGTGTCGTGGCGTATTAGCTCACAGCAACCTCAAACTCTTGGGCTCAAGCGATTCTATAGGTGCCTGCTACAATGCCCAGCAATTATTTGTTGCAGTTGTCATTGTTGGTTAGCTGGCCTGGGCTGGTTTTGGACCCACCAAATTCGGTGTATGTAGCCAGCCCTTTAACCATTGTGATTTGGGCACGAGCCTTTAATTTTCAATTCTATGAGGTACCTATGACCATGTAGGCCCAACATACCTATCATGAGAGAAAAAAAAAATCCAGCACAACCTAGAGTTACCGTTGGATCTTTATTTAAAAATCTGATCTGCTAATTTAGCGTTTCCCACCAACTCGGGGAGCAGAAACCTTCACAGGCTTCACAATCTTTTGCTTAGGTGCTGCCTTTGTGGGTGCCTGTAAAAAGATGACACATTACATAACATCACTCCTCAAAACCTTATGACCCCCCCATGTCCAGATTCTTTATGTACCCTAGATCACTTTTTAACTGCCTTCCTAATACCAACCTTTTTATTTAAAACTCCCTAAAATATTAGATGTCTATCTATATAATGAAAGACAAAAATACTGTCATAGATTGAAGGAAACACAACTAAGTTTGAGTTTCCTGAATTTTACTAACAGTGTAAAACCTATGTTAATTTTGGGGTTTTGAAACTTTTACTATGATTATCTAAATTAACTGAGAAAAACCGGGAGAATGTCCTATACTGCTACTATAAACTTCTCCGTGACTCTAAATTTAATTATCTCACAACACAGTTCAATAAAAAACAAAAGCCACCTTTATTTCCCTCTTTCCTCATTCCTTTCATTTAAGAAATGCTTTGTCTCCTGTAGAGACCCTCTCTGGAGACCCAAACCATATACCCATATACCCATAATCAGTTAAAAAGATCACTTCCAATTGAGCCTT